CCCTCCAAATCTCCCCTCCCCCTCTCTCCTCCCACCTCTGCATTCATTCTCTCCATCTTCTGCATGTGGTTCACGTCCTTCGTTTTACTAACCACCATGACAGGAAAACCAGGGGATGTCTGGGAGAAACCCCCACCTGCCTCGCCCTCTCCTTCTTCACGGGTGCTTCCACCCCTCTTCCCCCAGGTGGTGAAGTGGTCAAAATAGCCTAGCTGGCTTCCATTGCAGGGACACCAGGTCGGATCACGCAGCCGGAGACGCCGGTGACGCTGCAGTTCCAGGGGAACAAATTCACTCTGTCTCACAGCCAACTCCGCCAGCTGACCGCAGGACAGCCTTTACAACTGCAAGGTGAGCAGCTTTGAAGAACACCTGCGGGGGAGCTTCCCCATCCTCAAGTAGTTTGGATTTTGTGTGATCCTGCGGTTGTAGACATTAAGGGCAATTGCATCCCTGTTTGGTTTGATGGCAGCAGTGCCTCAGATAGAAAGTCCCTACAGAGAGTAGTGAGGACAGCGGAGATTATAGGAAGCTCACTTTCCCGTTATTCAGGATACTGCTTATAAGCACTATTTGCTTAGAGCTCAGAGTATCTTTAGACCCCACACACCCACTCCATGGTCTGTTTCTGTTGCTCCCCTCTGGGAGGAGATTTCTAGCAGGACTGTCAGATTTTGTAACAACTTTGTTCCCTATGGCATCTGTCTGGTAAATTCACAAGATTCGTTTTTCTTGCCATGACTGTTTTAGAGCTGTATGCAACGAAATTTCATTTTTAATGTATGCCAATTAGTGTACATTCAAAGTGACAATAAAATTATTCTATTCTGTTCTTATTCTTATCCCTATCCCTATTCTATTCTTATTCTGTTCTATACTTATTCCTATTCTATTCTTATTCTGTTCTATACTTATTCCTATTCTATTCTAATTCCATTCCATTCTATTCTAATTCTTATTCCTATTCTATTCCTATTCTATTATTCCTATTCCTATATTCTATTCTACTTTATTCTATTCCATTCCATTCCATTATTTCTATTCTACTCTACTCTACTTCCAAATTATCAAGCTAACCCTCCTGGATAATTCCCATTTGGGAGATCCTTGGTGGCCTTCTTTAAGGCCACCCAAGAAATTTGAGGGTTATTTAACTGTTCAAACAATTCTTGATTTACGAGCAAAGCCGAGCCCGAAATTTCTGCTGCTAAGGAAGGTAGTTGTTAAGCGAGTTTTGCTCCATTTTACGATTCTTTTTTTGCCACAGAAGTTTAACCCCTGCAAGTGGTTTAAGTGAATTATGTGGCCTTAATGGGGGATCTGGCTTCCCCCATTGACTTCGCTTGTCGGAATCGGGCTGGGAAAGTCGCCATTAGGTTATTGCATATCCCCGAGATGCGGCAACCATTGCAAATATATGTCAGTTGCCAAGGGCCCAGATTTTGACTGTGTGATGTGATGTTCCGGTGATGGTAAATTTTTCCTAAAATGAAATGTTAAAAAATCAGTTTAATAGATAACAGATAATCAGAGTTGGAAGGGACCTTGTAGGTCATCTAGTCCAACCCCCTGCCCAAGCAGGAGACCCTACCCTATTTCTGACAGATGGCAGTCCAGTCTCTTCTTGAAAGTCTCAAGTAATGGCGCTCCCACAATTTCCGAGGGCAAGCTGGTTGATCCCACTGTCAGAAAGTTTCTCCTTATTTTCAGGTTGAATCTCTCCTTGTTCAGTTTCCATCCATTATTCCTTGTCTGGCCTTTGGGTGCTTTGGGAAACAGCTTGACCCCTTCCTTCTCTGTGGCAGCCCCTCAAATATTGGAAGACTGCTATCCTGTCTCCCCTGGTCCTTCTCTTCCCTAGACCAGCCATGCCCAGTTCCTGCAACAATTCATCATATGTTTGAGCCTCCAGTCCCCTAATCATCCTGGTTGCTCTTCTCTGCACTCTTTCTAGAGTCTCAATGTCTTTTTTTATAGTATGGTGACCAAAACTGGATGCAGTACTCTAGGTGTGGTCTCACTAAGGCTTTATAGAGTGGTATTAGTACTTCCCTTGATCTTGATTGTATTCCTCTGTTAATGCAGCTTAGGATTGCATTAGCTTTTTTGGCTACTGCTGCACACGGCTGGCTCATATTTAGCTGGTTGTCCACTAAGACTCCAAGATCAGTTACAGTTAATTAAGCCAGGTTTAAAAATTAAGCCAGGTTTTAAAAAAATCAGTGGGATGGCCTTACTTCAGTGGGCAGTCAGTCACTTTTCCCTCTTTCAATTTCTACCCTCCAGGCAGTGTCCTGCAAATCGTTTCGGCTCCAGGACCCCAATATCTCCGACCTCAGGGCCCTGTGGTGGTGCAGACGGTGCCCCAGGCTGGGACTGTCCAAAATGCTCTCAACCCACTAGGGAACCAGCATCCGGCGGGATTGCAGACTTCGGCAGGAGCTCAGCCAGGTAAGCTCCCCACCACTCCGCCTTTGCGTCCACCCGTCTATCTTTACCTATCCCAATTCCTGTATTGCTGTGACTCTCAGCGCATTCACGATAGAACAATGAACCAGAACTATCACTGTGGCCAGAAGCCACTCCAAGTGCAGCCAGCAATGTTTGCAAACCCTAACTGTGACATTCAAACTGTTTTTTTTTTTTAATGCCCCATGTAAAGCTTTGGTTCCTAAGGCAGTGCCCATTAGCAAGAAAGTAGCTCTGCAGACTTAGGAGAGATTTCTAAACACATTTGTTGACCAGTAAGTAGTAAAAGGCAAGGATGCCCTTGATAGCTGGAGCACAGAGTACAGGTAGCCCTCGACGTATGGCCACAATTAAGCCCAACATTTCAGTTGTTAAGTGAGTTTTAGCCCCTTTTTTGCCACAGTTGCTAAGTGAATCACTGCAGTTGTTGAAGTGGAGTGGAATGGAATAGAGAATAGAGAGTAGAGTAGAGTAGAGTAGAATGGAATGGAATGGAATGGAATGGGATAATTAATGCCATGGCATGGCATGGCATGGCATGGCATAGCATAGCATAGCATAGAATAGAATAGAATAGAATAGGATAGAATAGGATAGAATAGGATAGAATAGGATAGAATAGGATAGGATAGAATAGAGAGTTGCAAGGGACCTTGGAGGTCTTCTAGTCCAGCCCCCTCCTGCTCAAGCAGGAGATCCTATACCATTTCAGACAAGTGACTGTCTCTAGACTCTTCTTAAAAACCTCTAGCGATGGAGCACCCACGATTTCTGAAGGCAACTTCTGTTCCACTGGTTAATTGTCCTCCCTGTTTGGAAGTTTCTCCTTAATTCCAGGTTGCTTCTCTCTTTGGTTAATTTCCATCCATTGTTTCTTGCCTTCTGGTGCTTTGGAGAATAGGTTGACCCCCTCTTCTTTGTGGCAGCCCCTCAAATACTGGAAGACTGCTATCCTGTCACCCCTGGTCCTTCTTTTCTCCAGACTAGCCAGACCCAAAACCTGCAGCCGTTCTTCCTATGTTTTAGTCTCCAGGCCTTTGATGCTCTTAGTTTCTCTTCTCTGAACTTTTTCCAAAGTCTCAACATCTTTTTGTGTGTGTGTGTGGTTTGGTGACCCAAATTGGTTGCAGTATTTCAGGTGTGGTTTTACTAGGGGTTTATAAAACAGAAAGGTAAGTAACCCAGTTGTTCAGTGAATCTGGCTTCCCCATTGACTTTAGTTGTCAGAAGGTCACAAAAGGTGACACTGTAAAAATACGAGTCAGTCGACAAGCTTCCGAATATTGATCACATGACTGCAGTGGCCTGAAGTGTGGAAAAACAGTTTCATGTTTTTCACACTTAAGACCATTGAAACCATGAAGGAACATTTTTCAGTGGATGGCCACTAAAGGAACTGTTGTCAATGGCGAATGAGCTGTATGAATGCTACTGTCAGGATTCCAGCACTTAACCCCATTTAAATCATGAGTCTCAAGTCAGACTCCCAAAACGTAACGTGTCCGGCACTGCCTGGGTGCACCCAACTCTGAGACACATCATTCATTTTCACCCTTGACCTTGGTTTTCCCTCCACCCGCTGGGTGTATCATAATTCATATTCTCCAATGGGACACATCCATAGCCCAGAGTCATCAATCATGCTCTCCAGTTAGAATTTTGCTCGGCAGAAACTTTGGTCACCTAGTTATTATCTTTGAAAAACTATTTATGGAATGCATTTTTGGTTTTGCCAGCTGCTGCACTGCTCCCCTCTCCCTTTCTGTTGGCAACTCTTAAAAAGACCATAGAAATATTTTATGAGTTGACAGCTACATGTGACCTCCACAGTTGGATTCAGAGTGCGAAGCCATTTATAAGAGGATGCTTGAGCCGCATAAACCTGTGATTTATGTTCTAAGTTTGTGTTTCCAGGAAGAACCATGGGTGCTAATTTAGCATCAGGCGACTCTGCTTCTTCCCTGAAGTCCAGCATTCATGGTGGTTACTCACAGGTAGGGCAACTTATTTTGCATTTGCGAACCATTAAGACCTCAAAATTAACCTCTCTTTCACTGCAACATGTTGCAGTCGCGTAGTTTCGATGGCCAGGTCACAATATTTTTATTTTTTTCTAGTTCTTTTTCTTCGACTCTGGCGTCTCCTGGTACAGTGATTTCAGTAAATTGTATGCTTTGGTTTTCGACAACTGTGAGATCTGGCGTGTTGTGTTCCAAATGACAATCCGTTTGCCTTCAATGTTGTTATTGTTTTTGTTATTATCGTTATATCTTATTCATTAAACATGAAACTCAGTCAACTGAACATTTCAATAATTTATTATTATTAGAAACTTTTATTCATTACAAATGAAACTCAGTCAACTGAATATTTAAAAATGTTATTTTTATTACTATTAGTATTATTAGTATTCATCGCACAGTCAGCCAGATGTTCAGACTGGGTTTGGCATTTTTGTCTACCTATCGAGTCCTACCAAGGACCTGGCATAGGCAAATCTGGATGTTTGGTGGTGTTACAGATTCACCGCAGGATGGAAGCTGTTGCAAGGAAAGCTGCCTTCTGCAATTGACTGGTGGCAAAGTTGTCAAGGCCATCGATGGTGTTCAAGTGGTGCTCCAGTTGCTGCTGCTGCTGCTGTTATTGTTATTATTATTATTATTATTATTATTATTATTATTATTATTATTATTATTATTGAGCAAGCAATATAGGAAACACTATGAAGGAGCTTCCTCCCATTGAAAATGGGAAGGAGGATCAAGGCAATCATAATCCCTGAAAACCCAAAACGTAATTTTCCTCTAGGATTGGAAACCTGCACCTGTACATAGAAGGTCGCCTGAGATACCCTTATTTGGATTTTTTTAAAAAAAGTTTGCAATTAAAATTTAGCATCATACCAGCAGGCAGCTGTAGAACTTTTTATCTTTCTAATATTAGAGAACTCATGATCTCCTCAACCGGGAGAACCGGAAGAACTGGGTGTTCTTGTTTCTGTCTTCTACACAGGAGTCCTTCGAGGAGAAAAACAGGCTTCTTAAAGAGCGCTTGGACCGGATCTTTTCTTGCAATGAACGGCGTTGCTCTCGAGCTCCCGTCTACGGCAAGGACCTTCGTAGGATTTGCTCCCTGGCGGGCAACCCCAACACAACGCCTCAGTTCTCCGCCAGAACCAGCAAATGGAGCTGGGCTGGCTTTGTAAACTGCGGCCTCTCCAAAGATCATCGAGACCCTCTCAGAGGGTTGACCTGGCAGCTCGAACAGCAGCAGCAGTCCTTGAGGGACACCATCAACAGGTGATGCTCCATCCTTGGCTCGAGCTTCCTCCTAACAATTCTGCTGAGTCTTGATCGAAGGGCATTCGTGGAATTGTGTAAAGCCCGGGGGAATTGTCTCGTTCAGGGGTCTCCACCCTTGGCAACTTCTAAGACTTGTGAGCTTCAACTCCCAGAAAAGGCCACACGTCTTAAAAGTTGCCAAGGGTGAAGCCTCCCCCCTGATCTAGTTAACCTTTATGGGCTCCTGAGGTAACTAATTTGAGCCTCAGATGATCGTAGTTGGGAGGCTGGGTATATTTTCCCCCATTCTTTGCTACTAAAGAGCTGAGTATTTCTTGGCCATCCTTCCAATTGTAAGGTACTGAAAATGCACCTGCTCTTTTCATCCATCCCTCTGCAACCAGCCGGGGGGGCTTCATAGAGCAGGATGGGGAGCTTCAACCTTCCAGATGTTACTGAACTCTTGACCTGCCTGTTGTAGTGAATGATGCAGCTGAGCTTTGAGCTCATCTCCAGCTTGAAGTGCCCTCCTCCTTTTCTCCTTCTCTTTTTCCTCCTTATCCCCTTCTCCTTACTCTGCAAATCCCAAGCCTCCTCCAACACTGATGATGATTCCTAGTTGGGTAATGAAACACACCAGAAAGAAAACAACCAAGATCAGAGAGCACCAAAGTCCCCACTGTCCTTCCCTTTCTCTTCTCTTTTTCCTCTCTTTTTCCTCTCTTTCTCCTTCTCCTCCTTCACCCTTTTCTCCTTCCCTTCCTCCTCCGCCCTCTGCAAATCCCAAGCCTCCTAACATTGATGATGATTCCTAGTTGGGTAATGAAACATCAGAAAGAAAACAGTCAAGCTTAGAGAGCATCAAGGACTCCATAGTCGTTGTCCTCCTCCTCCTCCTCCTCTTTTTCTTCTTCTCCCTTCTCCTTTCTCCTCCTCCTCCTCTTCTTCTCCTTTTTTCTCCTCCTCCTCCTCCTCCTCCTCCTCCTCCTCCTCCTCCTCCTCCTCTTCTTCTTCTTCATCTTCTTCTCCTTCTTCTCCTTTTTTCTCCTCTTCCTCTTCTTCATCTTCTCCTTTTTTCTCCTCCTCCTCCTCCTCTTCTTCTTCTTCTTCATCTTCTTCTCCTTCTTCTCCTTTTTTCTCCTCCTCCTCCTCCTGAATTGGGACTATAAATTGACAGTCTCCGGAAGGCTTGGTCAAAGGGCCATTTCCCCCACCCCACCCCAAGGTTGAAGAGTTTTGAAATCAGGCGGGGGACAACATGGCCCTCCCAGGGACATTTGCCAAGGTTCTGCTCTGTTTCCAAAGGGCGCTCTGCGTGTTGCCTGCCGCTGTGGCCGCTCCTTCGTCTTTGCACGTGGCGAGGCTTCCCGCTGCTTACAGCCATCGAATGAAACTCCTCCGGCACAACCTGAAGGAGAAGGTGTTGCCTTACCTGAACCAGCTGCGTCAGCTGACCGTGCCCCGGCTGCTGCTTCCCTTTCCTGACCTCCGTCTGATCCAGTACGATGCAGGTAAGAGGAAACCCCTTGATGTGCCCCTGTCCGTCACACTGGCAAGGGCTTCATGCTCCTGGCTCTCATCCTTCGCCTTGCCTTGCAGGGAAGCTGGAAGCCCTGGCGGTCTTGCTGCAGAAGCTTAAGTCGGAAGGCCGAAGGGTGCTGATCTTGTCCCAGATGATGCTCATGTTGGACATCTTGGAATGGTTCCTCAACTTCCACTTCCTCACCTACGTGAGGATCGATGAGTGTGCGAACCAGGAAGAGCGCCAGGTCTGTCTCACTAGCCTTCTCGCCCTTCCCAGATTTTGATTCTTGCAACTCTCCCCTGAGCACGCTCCCTGTTGGAGGAAGCCCGTTTGCACCCAGTGAGCAAATCCACACCTGGCATTCAGGTCTATAACAGAACAACCAAGTTGGAAGGGACCTCAGAGGCCGCCTAGTCCAACCCCATACCATTCTGGACACACGGAAGTCCAGTCTCTTCTTGAAAGCCTCCAGGGATGGAGCACCCACACTTTTGGAGTTCCACTGATTGGTTGTTCTAACTCTCAGGAAATTCCTCCTTAATTCCAGGTTGCTTCTCTCCTTGATTAGTTTCCACCCGTTGCGTCTTGTCCTGCCTTCAGGTGCTTTGGAGAGTAGCTGGACTCCTTCTTCTCTTTGGACAGCCCCCTCCCCCAAATAGTGCAAGACTGTTATCATGTCACCCTAAATCTTTAACTTCCCTGGACGTTTAGACATACCCAGTTCCTTTCAACCTGTTTGTCATATGTTTTAGTTTGCGTCCAAAGCCAGCCACGGACTTAATTGGCTGTGGTGGGATTCAATTTTTTTTACTACCAGTTCTGAGGGTGTGGCTTGGTGGGCAAGGAAGGGGAAGGATATACTGCAAAATCCCCATTCCCTCCCTACCCCACTCACCTGCTTTCCAGCTCCATTCTCCTGTGCAGGGCAACCAAAGCAGACCCAGCCGATCAGCAGTAGGCATGGCTTGGTGGGTGTGGCTTGGTGGGCATGGCAGGGGAAGGATATTGCAAAATCCCCACTCCCTCCCCCTCCCCCACTAACCTGCTTTCCAGCTCCATTCTTTTTTTCTTTTCTTTTTTGGTTTGGTAAAATTTTATTTTTATTTTTATATACAATAAATCCATTCCCTTTCAATCATGCGCCGATTAGGTACATATTTCAATTACTTAACTATTATTAATAATATTCTTATCAAACTTAACAATATAACGATAATCACATTCCCATGTATGTAGTATAAATGAGATCCAATATATCTTTTACATTAATTTCTCTTGTTGCTCTATGAATACATCTATTCCCTTTTAGTTCATTCTATTTTCTATCCATTGATAAAACACATCCCATACCATATAATATTCAGATTCTTCTTTTTCTTTAATTTCTAGTAACCTGCTTTCCAGCTCCGTTCTCCTGTGCAGGGCAATCAAAGGAGACCCAGCCGAGCAGCTGGGACTCAATGGGAGGCGGAGAAGAGATGGGGTTGGCGGGGCCAGTCACAGGCGGTATCGGCCGGTTCTCCGAACTACTCAAAATTTCCGCTACTGGTTCTCCAGAACTGGTCAGAACCGGCTGAATACCACCTCCGTTTATTGGGCAAATCCAGCCAGTTTCACCTTATGGCCAATGAGAACGGGGCAGGTCCTGTATTTGGGTTCTCCTTGTGAATTTCTGCAACCAGCGTGTTCTCTTCTCCCCATAAGGAGCTGATGAAAACCTTCAACCGAGACAAGCGGCTCTTCTGCGCCATCCTCTCCTCCCACAGCCGCTCCACGGGCGTCAACCTCGTGGAAGCTGACACTGTGGTCTTCTACGACAACGACTTAAACCCGGTGATGGAAGCCAAAGCTCAGGAGTGGTGCGATCGGATTGGCCGGTGCAAGGACATCCACATTTACAGGTGATGCTGGTGAAAATGTGGAGACAACCCCAGAGGAAAGGGCGGGCCTATAACCCTATCCCCCTGCCCCCAAATCGCCTTCTTAATTCTTTATTTTGGATCCAATACAGGTAGTCCTCGACTTACGGCCACAATTCAGCCCAAATTTTCCGTCCCTAAGTGAGACATTTGAGACATTTCTTAAGTGTGTTTTGCCCCCATTTCTACGATCTTTCTTGCCGCAAGTGACTGCAGTTGTTGAGTCATAACAAGGTTGTTAAGCCAATCTGGCTTCTTCGTTGAGTTTCATTGTCACAAGGTCACAAAAGGGGATCGATCACGTGACCCCGGGACACGGCAGCCATCATAAATATGAGCCGATTGCCACGTGTCTGAATTTTGATCTCCCCCCCCCCCCCAATGACCATGGGGATGCTGCAACTGTCATAAGTGTGAAAAACGGTTCATAAGTCACTTTTTTCAGTGGCGTCGTAACTTCGGATGGTTGCTAAACCAACTATTGTAAAGTCGAGGACTGCCTGTGTTATCTGTGGCTCTCCTATTTTTCTCAGGCGCTGCCTTTGACCCCTTCTCTTAAAGCGACGCTTCCTCTCTGATTTCTCTAGGCTAGTCAGTGGGAACTCGGTCGAAGAGAAACTCTTAAAAAACGGGACTAAGGATCTGATCCGAGAAGTAGCCGCTCAGGGAAATGACTACTCCATGGCCTTTTTAACGCAGGTATCTCCAGATTGAAAACGGCAGAAAAATTCTAACTTGGGGCATGTGGCTTTGGAAAAGTCTGACGACCAATACCTCAGAAGCCTCTGGAAATGAAGTGGTGTAGAAATAAAACATTCTCACCCCAGCAGTTCGAAAGCATGCAAATGCGAGTAGATAAATAGGTACCACTTTGTTGGGAAGGCAAGAGGAGAGGAGGAGGAGGAGGAGGAAAGAAGGAAGGAGAGAATAGGAATGGAGTGGAATAGACATAGGAATTGAAGAATGCAATGGAATAGAATAGGAATGGGAGTGGAATGGGAATAGAATAGAATAGAATAGAATAGAATAGAATAGAATAGAATAGAATAGAATAGAATAGAATAGAATAGAATAGAATAATGGAGTTTAAAGGGACTTGAAGGTCTTCTAGTCCAATCCCCTACTTAGGCAGGAACATGAAACAGCGTTCCATGCTGGCCACGTGACCACAGAAAATGTCTTTGGACAACATTGGCTCCCTTGGCCAAGAACGGAGACAAACCCAACCCCCTAAAGTCAGACACAAATGGACAGGGGAAACTTTTACCTTCACTTGAGAACCAAAGTAAGCAAGCAAGGGACGTGAAGATGGACTAAGTCTTCCTTTCCCTCCCCTTCTCTCTCCAGCAAACCATTCAGGAACTGTTTGAAGTCCACTCACCAATGGAGGATTCGGGCTTCCGGGTGAAAGCCGAAGAATTCGTCATGCTGTCGCAAGAGCCGTCTCCCTCCGAAACCATCTCTCCCAAAGTGGCCAGGCCTTTCATAGAGGTAAGGAAAGGCAGAGCTCTTCCAACAGAAGGCGTGGAGCATTTCCGTTTCGGATTGGCTGGTTGGGAGTTGAAATGCCGGAGTACACAGTTTCATTCTGAGTGCTGTTTTTAACATACAAGCAGTCCTCGGCTTATGATGGGCTGCTTAGCGGCCCCTTGAGCTTACCATGAGCCTTCCTAGGGCTACTGACGCTCTGGGTCCGAAGTTCCAATGGCTGAAGCCCCCTTCAGTCACATGACCTCATTTTGGGGGTTTGGCAACCGGTATTTATGGCTTGTAGAGTACTCGGGCCATCTGACATGAGTGACGTTGAGCTGGCCACGCCCACCCTGGCCACGCCTATCCCCCCCAAGGTCAAACACAACCCTGATATGGCCCTCAATGAAATCGAGTTTGACATTCGTAGACATTCTGTTATTTTATTTGTTTACACTCTTTTCGTGTCTTTCTTCTAATGTTGTAAGCCACCTAGAGTGGCCCCAAGGCGAGAGATAGGCGGCAAATAAATTTAACCAAGTTATCTAATCTACGCTATCAGTTACAAGGGAGGGGGGGAAAAAAGGCTGCTTTGTGTCTTCCATAGGCTCTGAAAAGTACCGAACGAGAGGAAGAGGAGAAGGAGGACCAAGAGGAGATGGAAGAGGATGAGGAGAATGAGGAGTGGAACGTTCTGGATGGAAAGAGCGAGTCGGCGTGGAAACCTCTGGTTTCAGAACTCGGAAAGGCACAATATCTCGAGCAGCCTTCACTGCTGCAGGAGCTGGTGGCCGTGGTCGATCAGGTGCGCTGGGTTTCCCTCTGCATTTCCAATTCTGATCTGAGAAATGATGTTCTTTTGCTGTCCATGCGTGTGGTTTTTAATTAGTGAGGGGACTCCAGACTTCCAGTGGTGGCGCAGTGGTTAGAGCGCAGTACTGCAGGCTACTTCTGCTGACTGCCAGCTGACTGCAATTTGGCAGTTCGAATCTCATCAGGCTCAAAAGTTGACTCAGCCTTCCATCTTTCTGAGGTCGGTAAAATGAGGAGACCCAGATAGTTAGGGGCAAACGACTGATTTTTATAAAACCCTAACACTCCACTTGGAATACTCCAACCAATTTTGGTCCCCATACTACAAAAAAGATGGTGAGACTTTGGAAAAAGTTCAGTGAAAAGCAACTAAGATGATCAAAGGCCTGGAGACTAAACTATAGGAAGTACGGCTGCAGGATTTGGGTTGGGCTAGTCTGGAGAAAAGAAGGACCAGGGGTGACATGATAGCAGTCTTCCAGCATTTGAGGGGCTGCCACAAAGAAGACGGTGGTCAAGCTATTCTCCAAAGCACCAGAAGGCAAGACGAGAAACAATGGATGGAAACTCATCAAGCAGAGAAGCAACCTGGAATTAAGGAGGAACTTCCTGACAGTGATGACAATTAACCAGTGGAACAGCTTGCCACCAGAAGATGTAGGGATTTCATCACTGGAGGTTTTTAAGAAGAAACTGGACAGTCACTTACCTGAAATTTTATAGGTTCTCCAGCTTGAGCAGGGGGCTGGACTAGAAGACCTCCAAGGCTCCTTCCAACTCATTTGTTCAAATCCTGTAAAACCACTTAGAGAGGGCTGTAAAAGCACTGTGAAGCGGCATATAAGTCTAAGGGCTATTGCTATTCTACCTGAACCATTCCTTGCAGTTTTCTTGACATGATTCTTCAGTTTCCCTTG